TCAAGATACATAACTTTCACAATGGTCAAAGCTAGTAGAACTTCATTAGAGAAGTCATCTTGGATAGGGATATATCTTCTTCCTTTTCATTCTTACTAAGATGGTGAGTTAATAAGTTATGTGTCACATTTTTGTTTCGAATATCGATTACAAACTCTTGAAGAAGTTATATTCATCTAATCGATCTCGGTTTGGAATTTGCTTTCTTCAAAAGGAACTTTAATGTTGTATGATTAACATAAACAATTTCCTTAAAACTAAGTATGTATGATCTAAATTTATCCAAAGCAAATATAACAACTAGTAATTCTTTCTCAGCGTTGGTGTAATTAACTTGTGTTATGTCCAAAGTCTTAGAAGCATAATAAATCACATGTGGTAACTTCTCATCTATTTGTGAAAATAAGAAAAATGATTTTTTGATACATTTACATTTTTTACATTCATTTGACACTACCTTCTTAGTTACTTTTTACTTTTTTCTTTCTTGAAAAATACAAAAATTTACACTTTTATAATCATTTTACTCTTAAACTCTTTGTCAAATAAATATAAAAGTGTATCATGGTACTATTATTCGTGAAAGTAATCCTTCCACTACAAAATTTGATGCATTACACATCAACTTGAATGATAATATCCAGTCAAGTGATTGGATAATGGAGTGGCAGGGGATACTCTTTTCAAGTTACCGAAACAATCTCCGCTTCTCTTCAAATTCAAATTGTACATTCTTTTAGAGTAAGTTAAAGAAATGATTAGCTATATTAACTAGATCTAGATTGCCATGTCGTACATTCTTTTCCATATTTTGCCTATTAAAACCAGTGAACATTCAACATATATGTTCACAAACTCTTTAGAGTTTAGTAGCTTTAAAACTTGTTTTCCAAGCTTGGAATATTAAACATTCACATTGCAGCTTGAGGGAGGCTATTAAGTCTAACGGGTTTCTGGTTTTTTTTATATGGGTAATTTGTTTATACAGTTTTTCAGTTTTAGGTACATGATGTATAATACCCTCTATCATTCCTTTCCGAGAATAAGAAATTTCTACGTTTTTCATGCAAAGCTCTGTTACTTTCTTTTTACTCTCTTACTTCTTTATTACAAAAACTTGTCCAAACCGTCTCACGTTCCTGCAATATGATATACCATGAAAATTAATACTATCAGAAAAATGATTGGTTTTTGCATTAATATAAGTCTAAATCTATATGCATCCAGTATTTGATTAAAAATGTATCAAGACTATATGTGTAATGTGTGTATGCATATGAAATTAAAATATACGAAAAAAAATTAATTTGATCATACTTTTGGATAACATTAAAATATTTTTCTTTCTCACTCCATGGTCCAGGCATGAATTCGCAATGATAGACATAACAAAACGGGTGTTGCTCCCTTCACCACCCCAAGTACTTCTGCACATTCTCACTATTTTCTTTTATTCCAAAAATACTCTACATCTTCCCACTATTTTCTTTTATTTCAAAAATACCCTATACCTCCCCACTATCTTCAACAATCTTTCTCTTTCTCTCTCTGCATTTATATGTCTTAGATTTAAACTTGTGATATATTGCAAAATATAAAATTGAGAGGAAACTTCAATATTAGTGTTTCTACCACTTCCATTTTATAAACTTAAAGGTTAGATGCAAATACAAAATAATAAACATAATAATATTAATAGTAAATAATATATTATTATTATTATTATTATTATTATATACTAACTTTATAATGACGAAAGAACTAAATAAATACCAAATCTTTAACAAATAACTTTTCTTTTATATTCTAAGTTATTTTTATATTATTTATCTAATAAATTAAATCTTTTATTCAAGTTATTTGAGTCAAAAATGTCGGTAAGTTAAAACATAATATAATGTTAAAAATTATAGATATTAAATGTAAAAAAAAACACACATATATATAAACATTTTTCTAAAAATTTAGAACAAATTTTTACCATTTATTAAGTGATTTGAAGAAAAAAAATATATTGAACAGTGAAAATAAGATTGAATCAAGCTTATTTAAGGGAAAGTGTAAATAAAATTTTACAATATATCACAAGTTTAAATCTGAACCATGTGAATGCTCCATTAATGTGGAGAGAGAAAGAGAAAGATTATTGAATATAGTGGAAAGGTGTAGGATAATTTTGAAATAAAAGAAAATAGTGGGAAGGTGTAAAGTATTTTTGGAATAAAAGAAAATAGTGGGGAGGTGCATGAACACTTGGGGTGGTGGAGGGAGCAACACCCTAACAAAACGTGTAGCTTCATAATGACCTGACCCATTCATGGCCCAAAAGCCCCGCCTTGGTATTCTTACAATTTCTATTGGCACCCGCAAAAAATACATTTTCACTATGAAGGATGCAATGGAAATCGATTTTTATTGTGTAATCAGGTAATTATATATAAGGAAAACAATTTTTTTTTACTATGAATGACGCAATGGAAACTGTTTTTTATTGTGTGATTAAGTACTTATATACAAGGGATACAAATTTTGACACTGTCATGTAGAAAATTTTGAATTTTGTAAATTGATACTCCTTTCAATTTGTTCATCAACACTTGTTTGTTGCCAGGAAGAAGAGTCCAATCAAATACAAATAATGTTTATCCACTGTTCGTTCTACCTAAAATTTTTTTGTCTTATTATTGATTTGAATGTCAATAAAAAAAACATCAGCAATTTTTTTTTATATCACTAAACAAGAAATTCTCAAACTCTTGTTCACTTCTTTCTCATTCCTTGTTCTTCTTAACTCTCTTTTTCATTTCTCTCACTCAAACATTCTTCTCTGTCATCTCTACATACACTTCAATTGAAAAAAATCAAAAACATTCATCTAACCCTAATTCACCTTCTTTACTTATCCAATTTGTTTTTCTCTCATCTCCATCCTCTCTCCCGCGATATCGCAATTTGTCGCTCTTGCACTTTTCTTCATTTGTTTTTCATTATAATAACAAATAACTGATGATGTTGATGTTGATTTTTTATTAGATGGTTATGTTATAATTTTTCCCTTCTGATTGTTATTAAATTTCTTTTTTAAAATTTAGAATTAGTAAATACCAATTTTGATAACATCATAGAAATGAAAGGAGTAGAAGTTAAACTATGAGCGGAGTGATAACAAATTTATTAAATTTAAATTCAAATTTGAAAAATTTGAAATTCAGCGTTTTGTTTTTCTTAATTTCATTTCTACGACAAATGATAAATCAGAATGATATCATCATGTTTATATTGACCAAACAAGTTGGAGAAGTTAATTGTTTAAAATAAATTTACATGACGTGATTTACTTTGGAAAGTAACTTTCTGGTCCAACTCAAAGCGAACAGATTCATTATGACTAATTTACTAATTTTTGGTTGATTTTTAATTAGTTAGTGTATAAATGAAGTTCTTCTTGGAAACTACTCAATATTTTGTAATATGCTCAAATCTAGAAGATGTGTAATTTGTTAGAATATTTTTATTCTTTCTACAAAAATGAAATGAAAATATGTTTATCAAAATATGAAACATTCGAACGAACATTGGTTTCTTTTCTGAATAAGGAAACAGAGTCAACAACAACAATTTTCTCTGTTCATAACTCTCTTCAATAATTTATTCCTGTTAAATCATTTAGTACAATGTGCAAGAACTTCATTTTTTTTTTGTGTTTTGATGTTGGTTATATGCAGGAATGTGAAAAGTATATTCCGAAATATTGTTTTCATTTAAGAGCTGACTTCAGACATCCATTTTCTAGACAATGACTTATCCCTTCCGGAATCCCCTTCCTATATAAGGGTTTTTCTCCTCTGAAAAGTATTTTCGGACAACTTAATAGTCAAAATATCAAATCTTCCTGAAGATAAACTACTAATTCTAAAATTTAAAAACAAAATTTAATAACAATCAGAAGGTAAAATATATAACACAACCCTCCACTAAAAAAATCAACATCAACATCATCAATTATTTTGTTATTAAAATGGAAAACAAATGAACGAACAAAGCAAGAACAACAAATTGCGGTGTCCCGGGTTGTTGTGTGTAGGTGAGAGAGAGAGGATGGAGATGAGAGATAAACAAATTGAATAACTTAGGAAGGTGTATTAGGGTTATGTGAGTGTTTATGATTTTTTTCAGTTGAAGTTACTCTTGAGATGACAAAAAGAAAGTTAGATTGAGAGAAATGAAAGAGAAATGGTTTAGAAGAACAAGGGATGAGAGAGAAAGAGACGTGAATAAGAGTTTAAAATACTTAGAAAGCATAATATATGAGACTATTTTTTATTTACTAAATTTCGATACACTTTTTTAGAATGTACCAACTGACAAAATAAGTTACGTATGTTAGTAAACTTTTATATATATATATATATATATATATATATATATATATATATATATTCTAATTTTTAAATAAAATGATTTTAAATAATTACTTTTTAGGGATAATTTAAATCAAATTACTTAAAAAAATATTAATACAAATAAATTTGGTCTTACTTGAAATTAAATTTGGATGAGTTGTGTGAAAATATAAATCTGAAAAATTAATCTTTTATAAAATAACTTCAATCATAATACTAAATAAAAAAGCAAAAATACTTAAAGTAAAATTGTAAAATATTTTTCCATGATTAATATAATTTTTTATTAATAATTTTATTTTGATTACTGAAATTTTTTAAAAGAATTATTTAGATAAAATTTATTAATAATTATTAATGAAAAATGGATATATGTGAATCGGATTCCCCTACTCATCTACTAACAAATGATAATTAAATGTTAATATTTATTGTATGTATTAAAATATTTATTTAATACCCATCACAAATTTTATATAGAAATATGAATTTTTTTTTTGTCATTACTATTTATTGATAGAGATAATGTTGTTGAGACCCAAAATGGAAGAAATATTAATTAAGATTGGAAATGGAAGATTTAATTTATTTACAATGGGTGTCTGTGCTGCAGTGAGAAAGAAAAAAGAAAGTAAAGGAAGAACTTAAGAGAGAAAGAAGAGAGGATAATACAGAAAATGACGCTTCTATCTTTTCTCTGTTCCTGTCCTCCAGTAATTCCGCGCTCATGGTTTCCGTTGACGTCTAATACAAGTGCTTTCTCCGTCAATTTCAGGACCCAAATCCATTCCTCTGCTTCCACCAACATTTTCACCCAAAATCTCGACACCACTCTCTTATCCATCGCTGAATCTTTCTACGAGGATGAGCTATGGGCCGCTGCCTGTCTCCGCGTCCGTTCCTTCCATCAATTCCGCCCTGACGCCTTCGGAGTCCGAGTCAGTCTCTCATTCTAATCTTCTCCTTTTTTTCTTTAATGCTCAAATTTAGATTCTTGCTTCTTCTTGATTGAATTGAATTGTGATGAGGTAATGTAACACGATGCATGCCGTATTTCGTGTTTGTTAAGTTGTCTTAGGATCATATGAGGTACTTGGCTGAGCGCGAGTTCGAAGCACTCAAGGAGCGTGTTTCGGGGAAAAGAACGGGCTTCAGAAGAGTTTCTTGCATTAACGCTTCCCTTCCATTGTCCCACATCGCTTCCCTCTCCCATGATTTATGCTCTTCTTGTAAGGTTTGTTTATTTCCTCCTTCCTTTCATTCACGTCTCTCCGATTCCCTTCATTAATGGATTGCTCAATGCTAATCCTTCCGATATGTATGTTTGGAGATAAACATTTAGCAACTGCTAACTTCAGTCATTGGTTAAGGAATTCAAAATAGAAAATTTTCAGTCAAAAGCATTATCACTGTATTTTTTTATTGTCATTTTCAATGCAATGCTTGTTATGTGAATTCCAATAACAAATTTCAATTTTTGATTTGTAACCGGTGCCTTTAAACTGCAATACTTGTATGACCCATTATTGATATTGCTACAATTAAATGAAGAGATATCATACCTATCTTTTTACTATGCTTAGATTTGTTGTAAAATTTAGTTCAAATCTTAATTCTACCAAATAAACTGTCACAGGAGGGATTATCTCTGTGTATATATGTTCTGTTTCTTGTTTCTTAACATATCTAACTGTAGTTTTCTGCTAACGGAGAGGAGCGGATTGTAGTTGCCACTCTTGATCTTAATCAGTGCTTGAGCCTTCCTGATGAAATTGTGGGGTTGAAGCCTGAGGTATTTTCCTATATCCTGATGTCCAAACTTGTATGCTTGTTTTTGTCTAGTAGAGATTTTGAGTTTTGACATGAAAACTGGCAAATCGTCTCTCTGCTTTCTGATTTTGTACAGTGCCACCGTGTAACTGTTTAAATGTTTCACTGTTATAGGTCACTGGAGCTGATGTCACCAGGGCATACCTCAGTAATGTATGTGTTGCTGAAGAGTTGCACAGAAATGGGTTGGGTTATGCACTTCTTGAAGTGTCAAAGTTAGTAGCCTA